GCTTATATGCAAATGCAAAAACGCATATTGTGACGACTCCGGTGTGTGTGCGTGTGTGTGTGTGTGTGTGTGTGTGTGCGTGCGGATATTTCAACTCGGCACTCAAGCAAGCTCCGGTGCCAAAGTTTCGCCGGTAGGCTTCCCGGCCAAGTGCCATTCCAAGACCGCGCTACCAAACCTCAAGCAAGTCTGGGCTTCGCGTACGGGAGGTGAGGGTTTTGGCGGGAAAATTGCTAAGTCGGGAACGAGAAAAGCTAGAAAGCTGATTGAGATTATGTTCCCGTCCACATCGAACTTAAAGATTTCAAATTTAGCCCCCGCGTGTGCGTGGTTCCTGCGTATGGCCCATGAGGGTTCCTGGCGCGAAAATCGCTAAATCAGGAAAGTTGGAGAGCTGAAATTTTCAGGGAATATTCCAAGCACAAGTACAACTTATAATTATCAAATTCAGCCTCTCAGTATGAGTGGTACTGTGGTATGACCCCGCGAAAATTTTTAATGGGGAAATGGCTAATTCGGAAACCAGGAAAGCTGGAGAGCGAAAATTTTCAGAGAATGTTCCCAACACAAACACATCTTGAAATTATCAAACTCAGCCCTTCAATGTGTCTGGTACTCACGTACGGCCTTGTGGAAATTTTTGGCGGGATAATGACTAATTCGGGAACCAAGAAAGCCGGGAGGCTGAAATTTTCAGGGAATATTCCCAGCCCATGTGCGGCTTAAATTTATCAAAGTTAGCCCCAGGGCTTGCGTGGTTGTCACATACTGCCCCGTGAAAGTTTTTGGTGGGAAAATTGCTTACTCAAGAACCAGAAAATTTGGAAAGCTGTAATTTCAACGAAATGTTCCCTGGCCAAATACCGCGTAGCCAATTAACTTCCCGGACTTCGAGGACCAGTATATCACGCATTTCTAGCTACTGGGCTTCCGAGCGATTTCATTACAGCACGAAATATTGCAGAAACGCATGATCGCACGGGCCTGCCCCGTGCGCGTCGCCGACGATCATTTCTCTTCCGCCCAAACTCAAAAGAAGTTATTGAATATGTCCCTTGCGTGTGCAAACGAAACATGCGGAATTCCTCCCAAAGCGTTGTCAGATTTGTTTCGTTAGATCTAATATTTCCGAAAGCGCTTGTCTTCCCAATTTACCTTTCTGTCATAGCAGTTAGATTTTGAGGTGAAAAGTCACAGTATTTTAGGCAGTAGTTTACTTATTGTCAGTACTTACAGTAGTTGTTTCCTAATACTTGTGTAAAAAAATGTCAGCTTTTGGGGCTCATTCTGTTGTTTGAGAGTTATTGAAATTAAATTCAGCCGTCTATCGAAAATACTGGCAACGACAAAGGCGCAGATAGCGCTAGGTGGACCACTGGATCGTGACGACAGATATATTCCACCGCATATTCTGGATAACGTTCAGGAAGATGATTCGGTGATGCAGGAGGAGGCAGCTTTTTGATTTCTTCAAAGTCTAAATTTTAGTGATTCAGGCCTTAGCTTTTTCGTAGTGTATTGGTCACCGATTCCAGTTTTTGGTTTAGCGGTCTTATAATGTGGTCTCATTTTGCAGATTTTTGGCCCTATACTTCCAATTATGTCGATGGACTCAATTAGCGATGCGATTGCATACATCAACAAGCATGAAAAGCCATTAGCGCTGTATATGTTCAGGTAGAATTTAGCACTTCATTCATGAAATGGTATTTATGTCTTGGCGTAGTTAAGCAGGATCTGCTAGACAGCGTTACGGATAATCCTTTATGTGTGTTGATATTAAACGCAATCTACAAAATGAAAAGAGAGGATCGGGGCATTTACACACATTTATCAGTTAGCATACCGTGCACGTAATCAAATATTTTATAAAATGTATGGTTCCATAAGAGGAGAATCAGAATTGCAGTTGAGGCGACAGTGTGAGGTAGATGTGTGTGTGTTTGTGTGTGCGTGTGTGTGTGTGTGTGTG